CAGTTTTCTATGAAAATCTTTATATTGTCCATGAACTAACCAAAGAAATACTGTAGGAAGGATAAGGCTAAGAGAAGTAAGAAGAAAGCTTTTCTCTCTGCTCTATATTGATTCGGCTATCTACTGTGCTCTTGAAACGTCCGGACCTTCTCAAATGTCTGAGTTTTCTCTCCATTCTTTGCGTAACGGGTGATAAAGTCTTGAAACACCCCAATATTTTGACGGCTCACGAGGACACTGTCTGAATGGGCTCGGTTCTTCGTGAAGAAATGTGTAGTGATATGTAGACTGTAGATCTAGTTGGCGTCGGTGATGGGTGTATGAGTGTGCTCGGTCCATTGAAAAGACACGTGTAGTGTGTAGAGATATGTAGACTGAACTTCCAATTGGCGTCAGTGGAGTGGAGTGTGTGTGTGTGTGTGTGTGTGTGTGTGTGTGTGTGTGTGTGTTATATGACGCTATGTGCCTCGATTTGCCTGGAAAGGAAGGGAGGGGGATAATCCAGATGAGTAAGTGCGGGTGTGTGGGATGGACGGGGAGGGGGATGTATCATGTTGTTGTTGGTTATGCTCAACATTTGACTGAGGTTGATTTACCCTGTCGTCAAATGGCCTCTGTGGTGGAATAGAAAAACGATCTTAAGTGTTTTGCGCCCCCATTAACACAATTTAGATAACTTCGGTGCTTCAGACCTGCCTGTCCCTGTCACTATGTGCCGAGTGGGATACAGCGTTGTTGCAGACCAAAGGTTTCTGATACGGAACAAAAATTAACGAAACAAAAATAAAACATCTTTTGCGTGCAACAGCAGTTCTGTTGTATTTAACTCTGTTCTCAGTAATGACTGGAAACTTAATGTGAAAGTGTGATTTCCCCCAGCACTGTTTAGGAGGCGGGCTGCTTCGACCCTGTCTTTCGCGGCTGACCCAGGCAATGAAATACACAGCCGAGCAGAGAGACTGAGGCACTCCGTAAAACATCCCCGCTTGTGGGAACCAAACAAACTGTCGGTCTTTCAGTCTCAGACAAAGAGCCTAACAATTCCACCACGTGTGTCTGCACTCAGACTAAAACATTGATCTGAGTGCTACCTCTCGTGGTGCAAGAATTTGTTCGAAGAAAAGTTCACTAACTATAAAGAAGAGGGACAATGTGAGTTTTTATTTCGTTCACGTTTCCTAATGTGAGAAAGTAACTTTACCTTAGCCCAGTATATTAGGTACTAATACGAACAATATCACCACCGTAGCATGAGACTTTGTGCAAACTTTACGAACTTTTGGTGAGTGTGAAGATGGCTCCACGAGGGAGCGTGACAGATAGTACACACCTCGTGATTCGAAAGAGCAGAGTAACTTGAGTCAAACAAATAATAACTCATCAATTGCTTTTATTATTTTCTATTACGCTTGGATAAGTCATTTACTGATAATTGTTCGAAGAATGAAGAAATATTTCAAGGTGGAAATCATAACCAAGAAAGAGATTTGAGGTCAAACATCATTTTTCCTGTTTGTTTCCACTATAATTTAAATTCAAAATTTAAAACACAACACATTTAGTTCGAATCTCTAAACATAAAAGGGCAATTTATTAAGAATAGGCAGACTAAAAAATAAATGGGCTAAACTAAAGGAATCTATGCCCTCTCTGCAAATTCCAGCAAGATAAAGACCCATGAGGTTGAAATAACTAATATGTCATGTAAGTTATGTCGAATGTGTGGAAAAAAGTGTTAGTTGAAAACGTCGTCGGATGTTTGTATCAGAGTCATCACGTGGTCAGAATCAAACGTCCAGACTCTCAGAGCACGCGGTGGCAGACAGTCAGGATGACCAGTATGATGACACTTCCGGTCAAAGCAGCAGGACTACCGCAGACTACTGCCTTAATGGTACTGTACTCGTTCACGGTACAAGATAGGGCGAGGATCTTTTGTTTTTGGGCATTTTTCTTGACTACAGCACAAACCTTTGCCTGGTCGTTTGGAATCTGTTTTGTGTCTTCCAGTCCGATGAGGCCAACATGACACGTGGTGGATATTCTCGTTCTGAGTTCCTCGTTTACGTAATCGAAGAATTTCCCCCTCGATTTACTGATCGTGGCATTTCTCCTGGTCACGTGTGTATCTGTAGTACCGCAAGACAGACCCCTAATGATAGTGTATTCTTTCTCAGAACATACATTAAGAGTCTTTTGGTGAGTCTTGTCCATTTTCATTACCTCACATAGGCTGTATGTACTTTGCTTTTCAATTCCACTCATGATCCCATGCATCCATCCGTAACAGAAATAATTTAATATATCTTTGAAGTCCTTGTCCAATTTGTAGAAGCTGCCCATTGCGTGGGTGGGCGTGTCCACTTTAGAGGTGGTTTTGTCCTTTTTGGAGGTGGTTATGTCCAATTTGGAAGTGGTTTTGTCTACTTCGGAAGTGGCCCTTTCCATTTTGGGGGTGGTCACTTTCAGTTTGGGGGTGCTCATTTCCAATTTAGAGGTGGTCATGTCCAATTCGGAGGTAGCCGTATTCAGTTTAGTGCGGGAGCTTCTGCTGGAGGTTGTGGTACTGGCGCCTGACACTTTGGCGAGAACGAGGCTGAGGATCAGCACTGAGCACAAGACAAGAACCCTCAAGGAAACCATTCTGGTGAAGATTGCTTTGATTGATTGGGCGATGCGGTGTTTTCACACTTCGTTAGGCTCTTGACTTCGCAGATTCCGTGAGAAGGGTTCCACTTTCTGGCTGTCAACGCCGTTCTCTGGGACGAAAAGGCGAAGGGGGGGGGGGGACGCACAAGATGAAAAACCCTAACTTACATTGTTTGTTTTTCTTTAATAAACAATTATCGTTCTACTAAGCAAACAAAAGGTTATTTGGAAGCTCCCATACTGTGGATTTAAAGTTGGCGTCATGGCAACATCAACATGGTGCTCCACGAGCCAAAACAACGTAGGTTTCTGTTTAGTAATTATACTTGCAAGTGTTTCTTTGTCCCCCTCAACACACTCTAGGTTGATAATGAGGTATGTTGCTTCTACCCTGCTTCTTAGGGTCAGCCCAGGATGAATGAGAAACATCATCCTAACAGACAGTGGGATTAACAACAACAAGCAAAAAAGTAAAAAAATAAAGGACGAAAACAACAAAACCTTCCCTCTCTCTCTGGAAAAAAATTCATGTCTTCTGCATGCAACCGCGAAGTGTCTCATTAAAAAATATTTTGAAACAGACATTGGCATTAATCGTTCACCACTCGTCTCTTTGCTTAGATACCCCCCCCCCTCTCTCTCTAGCTCTCTAGCTCTCTAGCTCTCTAGCTCTATCAATCTATCAATCTATCTATCTATCTATCTATCTATCTATCTATCTATCTATCTATCTATCTATCTATCTATCTATCTATCTATCTATCTATCTATCTATCTATCTATCTATCTATCTATCTATCTATCTATCTATCTATCTATCTATCTATCTATCTATCGGGGTGTAGGGGGTCAGGGAGGGATAGTACCTCTGTATTGGAAAGTCCTGCCATGTCCTTTTCAGGACAGCCCTCTCTACATTGGTTCCCACCTGACGCTCAACTCTCACCTGTGGCTCCACGAAGCTGAGGCATGCGCAGCGGCCACACCCCGGTAACGGCTTTGGCAGGAGGGCTGAACCAGGTAAAGGGTAGCTGGTCGGGTTTCGAACCCACTAGTGAGTAAATTAGGGTCTGTCTCCCTACGCATGCAAAGACTGGCTCCGGCAGACTGCACGGACGAAACTACTCGGTGATTCAATGGGCAGAAAGGCGGTCCCAGCAGAGCGTTGCGGAGTGCAACAAAGGCACAGTGAGACAAGTAGACACTGCTGGCCATCCGCTTCATCCCGGCCCATCTCCGGCCGTCTCGATTTCGTCGTGCAACCGGAACTAGATGGACAGGGACAAGAGAGTGAGGCTGACGACTTTGCGCAACTCTCCCGCACTTAAATCAAATTCAAGCGCAAGTCATGACTTCATCAAAGCGTCCCTGAAGAGATGTGACATTCCCCATACCACCTGGGAAGAAGCTGCTCGCGATCGCATAGTTTGGCGCTCCATAGTAAGATCGGGAGTGGCCAAATTCGAAGAAAGTCGCGTCAGAAAGAAAGAATGGAGACGGCAGCTGAGAAAAGACCGAGAGACATCTACCTTCCAGCCTAGTTCAGCCCCAAACATCCCCTGCCCCCACTGCAACAGACATTTCCGAGCGAAGATCGGCCTGATCAGCCATCTCTGCACACACCTCACCCCTCCAGTGAAGGACGAACATCAAGGTCATCTTCGCCAGCGAAGGACGAACATCATATCTATCTATCTATCTATCTATCTATCTATCTATCTATCTATCTATCTATCTATCTTGGTCCTACATTCTATTACTCTTATCCGATATTCTGCCCCCTGTCTGTCTCTCCAAAATGTCTCCATCTTCTACGTTTAAAGATCATGTTCAGTGTCCGCTCATCCCAACTCTTCATCCTATGTAATAAATCCATTCCATTCCATACATTAGTACACTATTTCGTAAATACTTTTTGAATGTTTTCTAATTTTCGCAGAATTGCCTTGTTTGTTTTCCATATCTCTGAACCACACATCAGCATCGCCAAGATCAGTAAAATAAGGCGCTGAATTTATACATGTAAATGAAATGTAAACCAAATGCTGTTTTCGTATGTCTTATACCAAGATTTGGCTAAAGGTATGTTACACAAAGTAGTCAATTGCAATTAGTCATTGGGATTAGGCATGGTGTATGCACAATGACGATACCATATCATGAACGAACCTGTTTTTACTTGTATTGGTTTAAAGGTTGCCGGAACTTTCGTTCCTTTTCGACTTCAATTAAGTCACAAAAGAACAAGGGTTCCTACAATCTCCATTTTTGTAATGTTGCCAGAGGGTATAGCAATGGCATTGCAAGGTCTGTCCCAGAATAAAATTTCCTTGTTCTGTAAAATCAACAAATTTTGTTTTACAGACATAAAATTTTGTACCCACAGACACATGTTTTCTATCTGTTGATCTCTATGCACTTTTTTTTCATCCAACGTAGCCAGCGATCAAAATCAAACGCAATTACCATGTCCTCTTAGACCAGAGTTCTTACCGCCGAGATTTGAAGGCGAGGAAGAAATTGTGCTCGGAACGAAATATACTCCGCAAAGGACTCTGGCCGAGGCGGTCATCGTCACTGCATTTGACCGCTGGCTACATCGGATGGAAAAGTGCTTTGAGGTCAACATTTGATATTTTGAACTGAAAACATGTTTTGGGAGATAGGGACAAAATTTTATGTTTGCAAAATACAAATTGCTGATTTTATAAAACAGGGAAACTTACTTTTGGGACAGACCTCGAACAATAACCAATGAAGTTTCCCCCGTACGCCACCTAAGCCCTCGTTTTGAAAATAACACTCTCATTTAAAGATAAGGGGCATAACTGCATTTTGAATTAAGCATTCGTTTTTTGAAAATTTGGCCACAAAAGCAACCAGATATGATAGAATTATGAAATATACAGCCAACAGCCAAAGGTAGATTATTGATTAAACATAGTTCAAAAATATAATTCCAACAGCATTCTCTCCAAATTTATGGCTGAGGTTTCGGTTCCTGCTAAACGACGGAAAACTGAGGAGAGAAGTAGGAGATGGGGGTTGGGTTGTAAAGGAGTGAGGGGAGATATGGTAAGGGGGGGGGGGGAGGGTGTTAAAACTGGGATTAGAGAAGGGGATTAGAACAGAGGACGACGAGGAGCCGGGGATGAGGGAACGGGTTATGGTTCCGGCGGTAACGGATTATCATCATGGTCTTTCTCCCTTACCCATCTGTTAAGGTATTCCAAGCATGCTGCTCTGGGTCTACCCCTACTTCTTTTATTTTCTTTCATTAAAGTTTTAGTAAGTAAGTGTTTTACGGCTCTTGCACTATAATATGGTCATAACGCCGAAGATTATAGATGTTGCAAGAACGCCGCAAGCATAAAAGGGAGGAGAAATAATGAAGATAGATGTTGATAAGAAAGAAGGAGCACACCACATCAGAGCACCCGCCAGCCACCCTCCACCCCTGCCTTGTTCGTTTTTTCATCAAGGGTGTTGATAGCAAATAGGTAAACCTGTTTGAAAGAGGGAGAGACGATGTTATATTTCATCAAAGTTATAAAATCACATGAAAAAGAACCATGAATTACACGTATTTTTTGCGATATTCTGAGTTCCATAGACTCTGAAATGTGCTTTTACTATCAGGGATCTGTCCAATTTCTCAAGTCTCGGGGCTGGCAGTGAAAGGATTAAATGCACCCCCCACCTTCCTCCCCCGAAAAGATTTTGTAAATTAAGGTCACGAACCGAGCTAGAGACAAACACTGTGGAACCAGTTGAAGACGACCATTTATTGTCGGGAAGAAAAGTGATCATCTTAGACAGGACGTGGTCCTTGTTGTACAATGTCATCGTAAGACGCTTACTATTGCATTTTTCAAAACTTCCCCATTTGCACTGGGAGAGATATTATGTATGTGGCGTCGGTGGCCTAGTGGTTAGGCTCTCGGACTCGCAACCGTAAGGTCGTGGGTTCGAATCCCGTCAAGGGCCCGACGTTGTGTCCTTGGGAAAGGCACTTTACACGAATTTTCCTCACTTCACCCAGGTGGGAATGGGTATCCGGCTATAGACAGCGAAAGATCTTGTCAGTTTGTTAGTGTTTGAGCGCTTAATCGGCTGCTTGCACTGTATGCTTCCCGGGAAGCTGAGAATGTTTCGGAGTGTTCTATGGTCTGCTGGGGTAATAATATAGTGTAAAGCGCATAGATCCTGCTGCTGAGTGGGGATATGCGCTATACAAATGCTATCTATTATTATTATTATTATTTATGTCCTGTTAAGAGCTGGAGATATCCAATTTATTAAAAAGAAAACAGCTTCCCCCACTCGGCAATCGAACTCAGGTCTTCAGGTGCAGTTCTATGATACGTATTTTATACGTACGTATTATGTACGTATTTTTCGTCGTACGTATTTCTTGCTTCCATGATCCGTAATTTAAAAGAAAAGGTACGTAGGTATTAGTATTACGTAGGTATTTTTGTGCCAGTTGTGAAACAAGATCTAATGACATAGGCGTCTGGTCTTGTATAATATTCATTGCTCTCTTTGAGTGAAGAGACAAATCAAGAAGATGTTTTGCTTGGTTCTATAATTAGGAAATTAAACGAAAGTAAAAGACATGATAGATTTTGGATCCACTATATTATTATCATAAAACAGAGAAAACAATACTAAGGTGCCCATTATCATCTAGAGAAAGAACAAGGACTGGATGTAAAAAAGAATCATGACTATTTCAGAATTTCCCCTGCAGAAATGGATATGCTATTATGATTCGTTGGCCTCGCTATTCGTAAGGAATTAGCGCATCATACAAACACCGAGTTTCCCGCGCCAGCTCAATCAAACACTCATACGTTTCGGTTAAAAAAACTTCATTTTGACAATAAGTGACGCTCTGCTAGCTAGCTCTACTTTACAAGATACAATGTAAAATAACACAATATACGTTTCGTGGTTTCTTGAAAATCGCCGGGTCAGGTGCCGCTGAAATGGGCCACGATCATTATCGACACAAAGTGGGACGAATGAGAATGCTCACACCAAACTACGTATGCATTCGCATCGCGATCCCAATTTTAAAAAAAACCCACGTATGTGTTACTTACGTGCTACGTACGTATTGCGTGTTGCATGGATCCAGTAACAGAAAATAGTGAGGGATCCATATTCTCGTATGCATTTTATATGTAAAATAAGTACGTAATACGGATGCAAAATACTAAGCCTACAAAGACATACCTAACTTATCAAGCAGCTGGATCCTACTGTCAGCAACTAGCTGATAATGCTATTGTCTGAACCATTTTGAAACACTTCTCTCGTGTGGGTATCTAGACAATGATATGATCAGTAGCAGCTGATTATACAGAATACAACATTGTTTTAATGATACGACATGCATTGTTTATGGTAAGCATTGTACGCGCTTGCAACTGCATATTAGGTCATATGAACATGCGGGACACGTTAAACATTTTCAGTTGGTAGAACATTTTTGAATTTTGTCCGGTTGGCGTCAAAGCCTCCGACATTTTTAGCCTTTATCCGAGTAGGCTAGGTGTAGATCTTACCTACTATAAGATCAGGGGTGTGGCTGCAAGACAGCAGTAAGACGGAGCTAAAGAGTAGCAGTAGAAAGGCTGCAGAATGAGTCGGGAGCCCAGAGGAGGGGGCAAAGGAGGAGAGGGGGCGGGGGCAGAAAGTGGAGACGAAAGCAGAGGACAGAACATAGTTTGAGAACAGGAAAGGATGTGAAAGGAGAAAATTTTAGAGAAGAACATTTTTCGTCGCTATCCGGATTCCAACTAGGGACTCACCATAACTTTAATTTTTTTTTGTATACAAAATACTGTAACAAATCACACAGACCAATAGATGCGGGTAATTGCGGTATTTTATATTGTGTATTTCTTCTGTTTAAAAATTAATTTAATTACAGTACAGTCGAGCTTGATCTGACTACCACCTGTCCAAGAAAACTGACTATGCAAATTACCACATCTCTCACCCCCCCCCCCTTTAACGTTTTCTTTTCTGTATTTTTTGGGGGGTGGGGAGGGGGGAGAGGGTCATAACACTGTCCAAGAGGACACCTTGCCTAAGATGCCCACTTTTTCACTGAATAATGAGTGGTCGTATTAAGCAGGTCAGACTGTTTATAACATAATATAATGCTTCTTTACCAGTGGGTGGTTGTAAGGGGCTTTCGTGTGGTTTTGCTCCTTTTTTCCTATCAAACATCTATCTTCCGTATCTCTCCTTCTTCTCTTTTGTGTTTGTTACGCTCTTGTAACACTTCTAACCCTGGGCACTTACATGACCTTATTGTATTGCAAGTGTCGTAAAACTCTTACTAAAACCAAACTAAAAGCTTCTTTACCAATCTTTGCTCAAAGAAGATATCAACACATCTTGACCCCTCGAAGCTGTTCTGCGAGGGATAGTACATTCGACATTGTCCAAGACGGCCACCCGTTGTCGGGGAGAAAATAAGTGATTGTCTTAGTTAAGTGGACGTCTCGGAAGGTGCTATTATAATGTAGGAAAAAAAAAGCCGGGTAGGGGGAGGGGGTGGTGGTGATTGGAAGTGGTCGTTTGTACGGGTAAGAGTCTTGGACAGGTGGTTGGTAGAGCAGGTTCGGCTGTGTTTGTGTCACGACGCGGAAGAATCAGGCCTTCGTCAATTTTTTGGAATATACAGTTATTAATACCATCATACAGCTTGTTCCTTTTTTCTTGCAAAGCTTGAGTATTCTAGATGGAAACTGGAAATCTAATATTTTTTGTTCCATTATTCAACGTTTTTCGGAAACATCCACACAGAAATACGTTTTAAGAGGATATAAAAGGTGTTGAGCCAAAAAAAGAAAAACCGAAAAAAATTGCCCTATGCCCAGAAAAATGCCGGTTTCTTTTGCTTTTAATTTCAGCGTTTCGACAAGCGCCTGCTTTCATCTGGCTGCCTTATATTTCAAGTCCATCAAGCGTCTGTTTGTCTACTGGGACGTTGTATCAGTCTGTGCAGGGATAGGTCATGCAGAGCAGAATCAAAGCAGCCCGCCTGCTAAATTATCTAAAATGTCGTTACTTTAAAGAAACAGAATTCTATCTGACATTTTCAGATACCAAATGTTTTTCTGCACTATCAAAAATTGTAAGGATATTCGAAATTGTTATCAAAATATTGAAAGATTTGCATTCGAAAAAGCGTGATATGTTGTAAAACTCAACATTTTTTTACGTCAAACTTTTGAAAACTGGGATCTGTGCAGGTAAAATATTGTATTCGGTCCCTCCCAGCCATGGTTGGCTCTTACAGGAGGGTCAGAAACCCGTCTCCTAAATAAACTGAACAGTGTCGATGGAGGCGTTAAAATACTACCATAAAAAAACAAACACTAAGGAACCCTAAAAAACCCCCTAAAGATTGACCAAGACGTCGCTGGATTGACTCTGCAAAGAACGCTCTCTGAGCCCACGAGCTGACCCACATTCAAGCCACTCGACTTGCAGCTGACAGACAATACTATTGTTTATTCCTGCGACACCAGTCACACGGGCAGTGGCGGTGGGTAGTGAAGGGCTCACGGGCTTGAGCCCCCCTCCCCAAAGTCTATCCCAAGGCAAATAAAAATAACGAAATAAGCAATTGAAACTGTTCTGATCGACCGCAATGAACACAGAGTGATGAACTTGGCGGTTTGCT